TCCTTAAGATATCAGCACAATAACACACTCAGCAAAATATCGTCTAATTATCGTTATCGATAAAATTCCAGAAATTTATCGAGATAATTTTTTTGTCAATATTGCACACCCCTAATTTCTTATTTAATTTATATAATAATTTATTGATAATAATTGTTTAAATTAATATAATTAATACTTTTGACTCATCCATTTTCTTAAAATTGGTTTAAAGGCTGAAATGTAAAGTTTATAATTTTTGTGTTTCATCATTTTCTGTTTTTGTGAAAACTTGTATCTGAACTGTAAATTATGCTTTTTACAGTAATTTTACGGTTTATTATGGTACTATAGACATTGCCCTACCCCGCTCATATGGTATTAATTTTATTTGTGCAGGTCTTAAAAAAAGGTCTTAAAGTCTTAAATTTGAGCTTAAAAATCCTGCAGAAACCCTGATTGAGAACCACTAAAGTTATTGTATTTTTTACTTTGATTTTGTCAATGAAAAAAAAAGGAAACTGAAATGCATAGGAAGCCCGTTCCACATTTTTCAGTTGGAGCAAATGGAGATCTTCCTCTTGTGGTTTAGTTTGAATGTGTAGTTTGGTTTGTTTGCAGGACTCTCCTGTGAAAAGACCGCAGAGGTCATTTGGCTGGTCAGAAAGGAAAATGCTAGTTATAACTCACCAAACCTCATTTCTAACCCAGAGATATGTGAAACTACAATATCAGACTAAAAATGTGGTCAGTACTGAACAATGAAAATCTCTTAGGCTACATATTTCCTCTCGGGAACTAAGAGGCTATCTGATTCAATTTTACAAGCAAGCATTTCATTATTTGAATCTGGGATTAATTCCCTGAGTTAATTTCTCCCAGCGGTACATGGCAGCAGTTTCTCTGTGTAGATTTTTGTCAGAAGCTTTTCTCAGCTTTGTTTATGTCTAATTCTTTTGGATGCACATTAGACTTGATGATGCATCCTAATTCACATGCTACCCTTACTATAATTGACTAATCATTCTTTAAAAAGCCCTGTATAATTTGGGGTTTGGGCTTCACCTTCAGTTGATCAGAAGCATTTCTTAGGGGTTGTGTATGTAAGACTTGAACAGCTTGACAACAAAAACAAAAGAAGATATTTTGAAGAATATTGTTAACCAAACAGCTGACGGTACCCATTGACATCTATCGTATGAAAAAAGTTAGCAGACACAGTAGTTTAGAGATATTAATAATTTGACTAAATAAATAAAGACTTGTGTTGTTTGAACATCAGTAACCAAAAGGGGGTGGCGCTATCAAACGGTCATTGTGCATAGTAAACGTATGCAAATTGTGCTGCAGCCTTCATTTGCAAACTTGCAGTATGACATTATTTCTTGAAACACTTTAACTTTACTGAAGAGGCTTTGCCCAGTCAACACCGGAGTCTAATCTAAGAGTTAAGTGTTTTAAGTCTTGCATCTGGTTACAGAAAGATTCATTGTTGCTTCGCTGGTTCTTCTAGTTATGCAGTAATTTTGGCCATTGTGTTGGTTAATATAAAGAGACATTCTTTTCATTTGGCTTTAATGAATTGGAGTAAGTTCACACCTGACGAGAATATTTGTTCAAATGTTTCAGTGTGTGTTTAGCAGTGGTCTAGTTTCCTCTTCACCACTGCTTATTTTTCCAACTTTAAAATATAGCCTAGTAAAGCCTACTGCCACATAAAACTCCATGCGTTCGCCTAAATATGAGCTACTGATAATGAAATCTGCTCAAACACAGTTTTATCCAGGTCGGTTCCAGAATTAAATAATTAGGGTGCTTCAGAAATTAGAGAGTGTGCGCGAACATTTTTTGTCCCGTCCAATGCTCTTTCGAGTGTGAATCCCGCATTAATATGGAGGATTTCATTCCCAATTTTCAGTGTGTATATGGCTGAAAAACAAATGTTTTATACAAATTCTGAATGGATTATATATATCCTAGAAGCACACAAAGAGCACTCCCTTTATAATCACTAAAAAGCTGTCACTTGGATCACAACACTGGATCAGTTTTACTCACAAGTTAATGGTAAATATCTGCTTTATTACAATGTGCAGTAGGACTGGATAATAAGACTTAATAACTAAATTTTTTAAACCTTTGATTTACAGATGCACCGATCGATCGGCCAGGGATCGGAATCGGCCAAAAGCGCGCGCACCAGAACTGATCAATATTAATGGAGCGCACACAAGCCGCACTCAGTCTCAAACAGCTTGTGAGCCACAAATACCAAAATGAGTGGCTAACTGCGCTAAAACGTTCAAATACATACAAAATTGTCAAAATGCCCATCTTGGCGAGTATCCAGTTAAACACAGTCAGTTTTGGAATGTTAAATAGTTGAGAAAGAGAACGCATGTTGTGTAACATGGGCCTGTTTACACCTGGTCACTTCCTGCGTTTTTTTCTGATCGGATAGCTATCCGATCGTTAAAAGACCAGGTGTAAATGCCCTCCGAAACGCATTCGAGACGGATATAAATCCGATCGCTCAAACCACTTCAGGAGGTGGTCTGGGCCGCATTCCAGACGAAACTGGACAAGTGTAAATGCATATGGTTGTTGAAACCACATATGTAAATTTTATTCCTCCCAAAATGATAAAATAATAAACGTGTGAGAGCGTATTATAGGCTATATGACATTAGTCAGACTGCGCTAATGCAACACGCATCGCTGCGGACGAGTAGCGGAGTATCTCTTCAGCAAGCCGATGCGCAAACTGAAACTGTCATGAAACTGAGAGTAAGATGCAGACGGTCAACACACAATCATCTTCATTAAAAGTAGTAAGACAAATTATTTTTCCAGTGCTGATGCTGTGCGCTCTCCTATGTCTTTGATCTTGAAATGAGCTGATAATTAATAAAATGCAGCGCTTATCTTTTGAT